CAGACGAGATATGGCATCAGTCGTAAGGTACTATATTATATTGCTAATCATAATGCTAATAGAAAATAATACTATCAATACTAGCACGAATAAAAGTAAATTGCTAAAACTAATCAAATGGGCCAATCGAAGACAATTTTAATTAGTAGTAGTGACAGCAAATACACTCGCTGAACTAACTAGCCGAGTGTGGATGACTTTATTTCTCTGTCTCACTGATTTAATAAACTACTTATTCCTCTCTCGCAGTTCCTCAAGGTCATCTTCCTCCAAACTCTTGGACAGCTTAAAACCGATGCCTAAGCCCATTCTAGCTCAAACCGCTCAAACGGCAATGTCTTTGAACTTCTCTGATCTACCGACTAGATCTGACGACAATTTTGCCAAATTATTAGTAGTATTGCATATTCGAAGAGTAGCTGGGCTTCAATGAATCTCTCAACATAAAATTGTTGCGTAGACTTCCGTTTCGTATAAAAGGGCATTATTAAGAGGTCATCTTGTCGGTATGGCAATCTCACGGGAATGCACGACAATTGATTCTCGTTGGATTTAATACAGCGTTTAGGCTGACGCAATTCACTAAAGCTTCACCCTCTTTTGATGTGAAAATGGCCTCAACTTTCGTACCTTCAGAGCTGGAATCATTCATGCAAAATCTCTATCCCGCTATATATATATATATATATGCTCACGAATAAACATTTACATATAATGGTATAGATGAATATTGAGTGATTTGTATCATGGCGACCTGCAGGTCGTGTCAAGGCCATGGGAATCGGGCTTCTTCTTAGAGGGAGATCGAGCTAGGAATCTCTTCATGCTGTATTTTCATACGCGATAAAAGTCTTGTCAATAGATCTAATTGCGTTGAGCCTTATTTTATGTGAAAGAGTCTCAGGAAGTGATTTAAAAGTTGAATTTAACAAAAGATGTCGGCCGATAACAGTTTCTAGGAGTTTGTTTGATGTTACTATGACGTTCTGTTTGGCTCCGTCAGCGATACATCCTTTTTCTGTTCGGATGAAAACAGTATGATTCGACGCTAAGTCAAGAATAATAATCGGTTCTGTCTCATGTGCTATATATACGTACAACTAAAATGTAAATGGAAGTTACCACAAAAATGCTATCCCGGTAGATTGATTGAAATTCAGTACTACTCAAGACATACGACATTTTTAATATCCAACATATAATCACGCAAAGTAAATAGAGTGAAAGTGGATACATTATTTTTTGCGCAACTATACAGATTTTACCATACATATGAAGGCGAAGATGTAATGGCCTCTATTTTGGTCACAGTCCCCTTCCACTGTAGAGAAGGAATTTGACCTCG